AAGCGCGTTCAGAGTGATTTGAACACGGAACGCCGGAAATCAGCAGTGAATTGTGGATCTCTGTCTGATACGAGTTCACGGGGAAACCCATGAAGTCGGAAGATGGTGTCAACAAAGGCACAAGCACAGCCACTTACCGTGATTGTCTCTGGTACAGCCACGAGGTGTACCATTTTGCTGAATCTGTCAACAAATACGAGAATACCCGTATTCCCGCGTGCGTCTTTGGGTAACCCGAAGACAAAATCCATTGAGATGGATTCCCAGCACTCAGCCGGAACCGGTAGAGGCTGTAAAGGTGCACGCAGTGAAGGACTTGACTTCACTCGTTGACAGACTTCGCATGCGCGAACATACTTTCGCACAAACTGACACTGGCGGGGCTAGTAAAAGTCTCGACTCACCGTGAGATATGTTTTCTCCCGGCCACGATGTCCTCCTATAGGAGCATCGTGATACTCGAACATGATCCGCAAACGCAGCTCAGTATCATCTGGAATGACAACACGTGGTGTGTCACCAGAAACGGCTGTATAATACAGTAACCCGTTACGAGTAGTGTATCGATCTGATGCAGATCGATACGCAGGCGACAATTGTTTCAACGATTCTCGAGATGGTTGGGAGAGATGTGTCAACAACTTCACAATCTCACCATCTTGGGCGTATGCCCGCCTCACATCATCATACAACGTTGTAGATGGGACTGAGGACGTCATAACCGCAACAGTGACTGTCTCACTGTTGGGTTTCGCGACTGTTTCAAAGTCGGGACGACGTGAGAGTGCATCAGCGACGACATTAAGTCGTCCTGGTTTGTACTCGACCGTAAAGTTGTATTCCGCAAAGAATGACAACCACCGCGCCATTCGTTGTGAAAGGTGTGGGCTGTTCACTGCCGTGCGTAATGACGCATGGTCAGTGTAAACAATGAAGGGTCTATCTCCTAATAGATAGACTCTGAACTTCGCGAGTGCATACTTCATGGCAAAGAGTTCCTTGTCATGCACTGGATAGTTCCGCTCAGCTGGTTGCAGCTGACGCGACTGATAGCAGACGACGCGTTCAACGCCTTCAAGATCGTACTGCATTAATGCACAGCCGATTGCGAAATCGCTGGCATCACAGACCACATGAAATGGCCTGTCCTGATCGGCCATTGATAGGACTGGGGATTGTATCAAGCTCTGCTTGATACCCTCAAAGGAGCGCTGACATTCAGCGTTCCATAACCACCTCTCGTTCTTTTTCAACAAACGAGAGAGGTGCACAGTCATCTCGGCGTAATTGCGTGAATACTTGTGCAAATACGCCGCTAACTCGAGGAATTTTCGAAGACCTTTGACATCAACCGGCACAGGCCAGTCGGTGATCACCTTGATCTTTTCGGGATCAGGACGTACACCGTTCTTACCAACAATGCACCCAAGAAGTGGTATTTCGCTTGATGCAAATATACACTTCTTGAGGTTAGCATAAAATTGATGCTTTCGCATGATTGTAAGAACCTGTCGGACGTGGTACCTGTGAACCTCAACGTCCGACTTTCCATCCATAGCTCGACTATGGATGAATACGTCATCGAAATAACTCGGCGCGAATTCTCGTACTGGTCTCAACAGATGTGTATCACATCTGTTGAACGTGGCAGGGGCATTACTGAGCCCTTGTGGCATTACTAGCCATTCCCAGAGCATGCCGTCAGGCGTGCTAACTGCGGTATAGGGTATATCCCGTTCTCGCATAAGGATTTGATAGAAGCCATCCATCAAATCCATGGACGAAAAGATGGTACTCTTTGACATACCATCAATGATTACGTCCTTCCTCGGTATCGGCGTTTGAGCCGGTACCGTTGCAGCATTCAACTTGTTAAATGCATGCACTATCCGCCACCCTCCTGTTGCTTTTCGCACACAGAAGGTCGGAGAGCTATGTGGGGAAGTTGATTCCCTCACATGGCCCACAGCTAAACGATCGGCAAAGAACTTGTCGATCGCAAGTACTTGTTCACGAGGCAGTGGCCACTGCTTCATGACACAGTACTTCGAGCCTGGTTTAAGCTCGACCTCGTGTCGAATACCTTTATCCTTCGGTAATTCGCACGGAACAGTTTCAGGGAATACATCCTTGAATTCAACCAAATATCTTCACAGAGAGGATTTGTCTTGAGCGATTCCCATGATTGGGAGTCATATCGCTCGATTCGTGTCTTTTCATCTAGGACACTCTCGTCCATAGGTGAACTACTGAGAACTCTCTCGTTCTCAGTAAACACTGTTGCTGACCTTATGTCGGTTACACACTCGTCGTCAGCGACGAGTACGCAGATCTGCTTGACTTTGCCACTACGCAGATCACGCAAGAACCTTTTATGTTCGAGCGTTGGCAACTGAGTGATCTCCGAAGTTAACTTCGGAGGCGCAATCAGATCAAGTGTATAAGCGCCTACACTTGATTCGTTATTGACTATGACATTCAATGTCTCTGTCATTTCCTGGGGACTTATTCCCTCAGGCTTCGAAGGACTTATTCCTTCGGCTTCCCGGGGACTTATTCCCGCGGGTTTCGGGGAACTTATTTCCGCCGTATTTGTAATCTTGGGACTTATTCCCTTTACTTCCTCTAGTTGGGGTTGCGCAACCACAGCGAGATCCTCTACGAAAGACTCTCCAGTCGATCTAGGATTATCGTTTCGCTTAACCTGAGCGATCGATCGTTTCTCTTCTAGATGTTCCCCGCTAGGGATACATCTTTGTCCCAGTCCACCCGACTTATTCGAGTGGTGGACCTTCGGCGCAGCCTGTGTTTCCTCACAGCCGCCGGAACTTTGCTCCGAAGTGTAACCGTTTGGTACACTAAGGTTTTGTGCAGTCGTACTAACGACCGTGCCACAAGTGAGGCCATCGCACTCACTCGTAGTACATCCACACGCTTGTGGACGCTCCAAAACGTTCATCAGATGGCCATCTGATGAACAAGCGGCAGGCATCGTTACTGTCCGATGTTGCCAGTTCACCCGTGGTCCGTACCTTCTGAGCCACGGTATTCCAAGGATGACATCAAATTTGTCATCCAAATCCAATACGATAAGGTCATCGTCATATTGGGTATCTTCTAGCGTATAGTGGATCTTCACTATACGCTTCATGACGGTTACGGATGCGCCTGTCGCAAGACGTACCGTCATCGTCGTAGGAGGTGTGTCACATTCACTGAATTTAAAGTGACCATCTTCTAGCGATTGGCGTCGCATAAAATTGTTGGACGCCCCACAATCGACTAGAGCTCGAAGGGACAACTTATTCGTCACTTCGAGTTTCAAGGTAATGAGTGAGATCTCATTACCTAGAGCAGCAACGCACAACGTTTGTATGTTGGGAGCAACCTTCATCAAGAGGCCTACAAATTCTCTTGACGTTGCTGGACCAGTAGGGTTCTCCGCACCTACCGATCCTGTCCGTTTTTTGACGGTCCATCCCGTTGTTGCGTCTTTGCACCAACAGCGGACCCTCGTCCCTGCTCCTTTCTCATGGGTGGACGGTCATTACGCCCAGTGTTGCGAGACACTGGACGAGGGGGCACTACACTAGTAAGCGTACTGTCCTGTCTTTTGACATCTGTTGCATTTCTGCAACTTCTTGTAGCCTGTAGAGCGAGCCTTCTCGCTCTCTACATAACAGAGCTCTATCGGCTTTGGACCTCCGCTGTCATATCGTCTCGGTTGACGATATGATGTCGAGCTGGCGCGAGCCTGTATCAGACTGAAGTCTTCCTGATCCGCAATGGAAATGGCTTGTTCTAGTGAATCTAGTTCAAGCCGGAACAGGTGAGTCTTGACGGGACCATCCGCAAGACCCTGCATGAGCACCGAAACCAACGTGTGTTCATCCACCGGATTGGAACTTATACAACTCGTGAGATGTCGTATATATTGCGCGTAAGCGTGCACATCACGCTTACCCTGCTTGAGCTTCAAGAGTTCGGTTCGAGCTCTGAACTCAGCTCTAGGCGGTTCAAACGTTTGTCTGAGCCGCAACTTGAAGACTTCCAACGACCCAAACGCATATGGGTCGTGCAACTTGAGCCCCAGTGCCCAAGTCTTGGCACGTCCTGCCAGATTTGACTGGGCAAATGCAACTTGCATATCCCCGTCGTCGATGCGACGCGCCCTTATGGCGTCATCCAATTCGACGAACCATCTCAAGAGGGAGTCCTCTTCGACTCCCCTATACTTGGAGATGTCAATCTTCAAGGTTTCGGGTCGACGCGAGTGCATCGACCCGCCAGCAGCAGCCTGCTGCTGTCTCAACAATTCAAACTGTTGAGCACTCTGTTCTCTCAACAACTCTGCTTGTTGAGAACCTTGTTGGTGAAGCAAGGCTACTTTCTCGCGTTCTGCGTCAAGTTCATTTTGAATGAACTTGACGATAGTAGCATGTTGGGCATCTCTATTAAGAGCCTCTAACATGACGCTAACAGCATGGATGCCCATGGTTGAACCCATTCGTTCAACCGCATCCCATTCGACATCGCTCAAATGAGAGTAGCCCTCACGCGTAGCGTGAAAGCTTTGGTCATCTTCATCATCCAACATATTCATGTTAGATGTGAACGTGGTCCTTGGACGGACTACGAAGTGCTACCAGGTGTAACGGGGCACCCTGAAGCTTGTAATGGTGACAGTACAAGCTACTTATTCTGATGACAGAATAAGGCGGTGCCTCGTAACTTCACGTACACTCGTACGTGCAGAGGAAGACGGTAAGAAGAAGCGAGTACTTGGTTAAAGTAAAAAGTAGAACCGTATTTATAATCGTTAATGTCTGCAATAAATCACTATTTATCTTCATCTAACTATGTCTAAATACAAATGTGTAAATCAACTATCTGCTCACCACTCATTGCGTGCGTCTGTCGTGGCGCGTCTTCGTTGGTTGATATAATGGCCTATATCAACCAATTAGGAACTACTCGTAAGTGCTACAGAATATTTGTCCTTATGACAATATTCTGAGAATATATATCTTATAGTTATATTCTATTAACAATTTCTTATAAATTGTTATGTAACGATTCACCCCGTTACAATCCGGGTATAATCCGTCCAGCGTCTGGAGCGACTCGAGTTCATCGAATAGTTGACCTTGCCACTGCACTTCTTTACACTGCTGCATGCAGAGGAACCCGAGGTCCGAACGTAGAAGCCGGAGGAGAGTATTCGGGTGTAGGAGCCGTGTTTGGTGAGCTGGAATCCACTTGACCGGCTGGCCCGTGATGTACTGAATCCAGTGATCGTTAGCGAAGATTGTCGGTGCGATGGACATAAGAGTAAGTTCGAAAATGCCCAGGTCTTTCGACGCGCGAGACAGTTCAGTGATCGAGGCGGACGATTTCCACCATTTCACGCGCATTCTTAAAATGTCACCTCGTTTCAAGGGGACACTCGACCCCATGAGATTTTTCTTTTTTGCGCAGAAAGCTGGATCATCTCCGGGGCATGTGACGCTGAAGACGCGGTTAATAACATGCAACTGAGCCAGCTCAGCGATATCATGTCCAGCCCCGGCCATCTTCAGAGCCATGGTGCTATTGAAGGCAAGTGCACACTCGACGGCTTTCTTCGTGATGTGGTCAGGGTTCGTTGAATTCGCAAATAGCTTGCACACACCATCCCCCTTCGTGTCTGCTTCCTTAAGTCGATCCGGAAGGGCATTGAGAAGCGCCGCGTGCTCATCATCACTCATTGCTTCTGCTACTTTTATGATGGAGGTCGCCTTGGAGGCCTTCTTGATTCTCGTGTGATGCTTCTCGACGAAGAAAGCTGACTCAGTCGAGGTCTTCATCGAGTCGGGACGCTTCACATCAACTGGTGCCACTTAATACCGTACCCCGTATTTCTTGTCCGCCGTTGCGTTCTTCGACTACAACGTGACCGCCATTGACTGGAGAGCCTAAAAAAAATTTGGCCGTTCAATACCGTCGAGAGGGGTCGTCTGTTGCTTGACCATGAGGTTGGAGAAGTCAATGGCTTTGCGCAAATGCTTCTTCTTTCTAGACACGGTCACGAAATGGTCGTCTGGTCCGTTGGTCAGCAAGAGAAGCGTCTCAGGCGCCTTCGGACTACTGGGAGGGGAAATCTTGCCGTTGGAGTCGTTGAAAGACGAGATCTAGAGCATATCACTGGATTTTTGTGGCAGCTTGGCCAGTCGGCTGGCAGCAGAATGCTTACCATGCGGAGCACCACGTTGGCGCTGGGAAGTTCTTGTTTTTGCCTCCTCGACTGCTTTCTGCAGAGATGTCAGTTCACAAATTGGTGTGGCACGGGCTGCTTGTGCGTTCAACTTCGAGGGGGCCGGCTGCCTTGGTGTAGATTGAGGAGATGATTCCGAAACTGACGCTGACTCAGCCACTGGATCCGTTGGTTGAAACAGGCCGTCAGTCGTACCCAGATCAAGACCGTGATGTGAGGGGTAGCCAAACAGCAGTCGCTCGGATTTGTATGGTGCGTCCTAGCCGTGCGCTGGGTGAAGCTTGTTGTCAAATAGCACCTGATCGCAGACCAATCCGTTGATCATCAGTGTAACGGGGTGAATCGTTACATAACAATTTATAAGAAATTGTTAATAGAATATAACTATAAGATATATATTCTCAGAATATTGTCATAAGGACAAATATTCTGTAGCACTTACGAGTAGTTCCTAATTGGTTGATATAGGCCATTATATCAACCAACGAAGACGCGCCACGACAGACGCACGCAATGAGTGGTGAGCAGATAGTTGATTTACACATTTGTATTTAGACATAGTTAGATGAAGATAAATAGTGATTTATTGCAGACATTAACGATTATAAATACGGTTCTACTTTTTACTTTAACCAAGTACTCGCTTCTTCTTACCGTCTTCCTCTGCACGTACGAGTGTACGTGAAGTTACGAGGCACCGCCTTATTCTGTCATCAGAATAAGTAGCTTGTACTGTCACCATTACAAGCTTCAGGGTGCCCCGTTACACCTGGTAGCACTTCGTAGTCCGTCCAAGGACCACGTTCACATCTAACATGAATATGTTGGATGATGAAGATGACCAAAGCTTTCACGCTACGCGTGAGGGCTACTCTCATTTGAGCGATGTCGAATGGGATGCGGTTGAACGAATGGGTTCAACCATGGGCATCCATGCTGTTAGCGTCATGTTAGAGGCTCTTAATAGAGATGCCCAACATGCTACTATCGTCAAGTTCATTCAAAATGAACTTGACGCAGAACGCGAGAAAGTAGCCTTGCTTCACCAACAAGGTTCTCAACAAGCAGAGTTGTTGAGAGAACAGAGTGCTCAACAGTTTGAATTGTTGAGACAGCAGCAGGCTGCTGCTGGCGGGTCGATGCACTCGCGTCGACCCGAAACCTTGAAGATTGACATCTCCAAGTATAGGGGAGTCGAAGAGGACTCCCTCTTGAGATGGTTCGTCGAATTGGATGACGCCATAAGGGCGCGTCGCATCGACGACGGGGATATGCAAGTTGCATTTGCCCAGTCAAATCTGGCAGGACGTGCCAAGACTTGGGCACTGGGGCTCAAGTTGCACGACCCATATGCGTTTGGGTCGTTGGAAGTCTTCAAGTTGCGGCTCAGACAAACGTTTGAACCGCCTAGAGCTGAGTTCAGAGCTCGAACCGAACTCTTGAAGCTCAAGCAGGGTAAGCGTGATGTGCACGCTTACGCGCAATATATACGACATCTCACGAGTTGTATAAGTTCCAATCCGGTGGATGAACACACGTTGGTTTCGGTGTTCATGCAGGGTCTTGCGGGTGGTCCCGTCAAGACTCACCTGTTCCGGCTTGAACTAGATTCACTAGAACAAGCCATTTCCATTGCGGATCAGGAAGACTTCAGTCTGATACAGGCTCGCGCCAGCTCGACATCATATCGTCAACCGAGACGATATGACAGCGGAGGTCCAAAGCCGATAGAGCTCTGTTATGTAGAGAGCGAGAAGGCTCGCTCTACAGGCTACAAGAAGTTGCAGAAATGCAACAGATGTCAAAAGACAGGACAGTACGCTTACTAGTGTAGTGCCCCTCGTCCAGTGTCTCGCAACACTGGGCGTAATGACCGTCCACCCATGAGAAAGGAGCAGGGACGAGGGTCCGCTGTTGGTGCAAAGACGCAACAACGGGATGGACCGTCAAAAAACGGACAGGATCGGTAGGTGCGGAGAACCCTACTGGTCCAGCAACGTCAAGAGAATTTGTAGGCCTCTTGATGAAGGTTGCTCCCAACACACAAACGTTGTGCGTTGCTGCTCTAGGTAATGAGATCTCACTCATTACCTTGAAACTCGAAGTGACGAATAAGTTGTCCCTTCGAGCTCTAGTCGATTGTGGGGCGTCCAACAATTTTATGCGACGCCAATCGCTAGAAGATGGTCACTTTAAATTCAGTGAATGTGACACACCTCCTACGACGATGACGGTACGTCTTGCGACAGGCGCATCCGTAACCGTCATGAAGCGTATAGTGAAGATCCACTATACGCTAGAAGATACCCAATATGACGATGACCTTATCGTATTGGATTTGGATGACAAATTTGATGTCATCCTTGGAATACCGTGGCTCAGAAGGTACGGACCACGGGTGAACTGGCAACATCGGACAGTAACGATGCCTGCCGCTTGTTCATCAGATGGCCATCTGATGAACGTTTTGGAGCGTCCACAAGCGTGTGGATGTACTACGAGTGAGTGCGATGGCCTCACTTGTGGCACGGTCGTTAGTACGACTGCACAAAACCTTAGTGTACCAAACGGTTACACTTCGGAGCAAAGTTCCGGCGGCTGTGAGGAAACACAGGCTGCGCCGAAGGTCCACCACTCGAATAAGTCGGGTGGACTGGGACAAAGATGTATCCCTAGCGGGGAACATCTAGAAGAGAAACGATCGATCGCTCAGGTTAAGCGAAACGATAATCCTAGATCGACTGGAGAGTCTTTCGTAGAGGATCTCGCTGTGGTTGCGCAACCCCAACTAGAGGAAGTAAAGGGAATAAGTCCCAAGATTACAAATACGGCGGAAATAAGTTCCCCGAAACCCGCGGGAATAAGTCCCCGGGAAGCCGAAGGAATAAGTCCTTCGAAGCCTGAGGGAATAAGTCCCCAGGAAATGACAGAGACATTGAATGTCATAGTCAATAACGAATCAAGTGTAGGCGCTTATACACTTGATCTGATTGCGCCTCCGAAGTTAACTTCGGAGATCACTCAGTTGCCAACGCTCGAACATAAAAGGTTCTTGCGTGATCTGCGTAGTGGCAAAGTCAAGCAGATCTGCGTACTCGTCGCTGACGACGAGTGTGTAACCGACATAAGGTCAGCAACAGTGTTTACTGAGAACGAGAGAGTTCTCAGTAGTTCATCTATGGACGAGAGTGTCCTAGATGAAAAGACACGAATCGAGCGATATGACTCCCAATCATGGGAATCGCTCAAGACAAATCCTCTCTGTGAAGATATTTGGTTGAATTCAAGGATGTATTCCCTGAAACTGTTCCGTGCGAATTACCGAAGGATAAAGGTATTCGACACGAGGTCGAGCTTAAACCAGGCTCGAAGTACTGTGTCATGAAGCAGTGGCCACTGCCTCGTGAACAAGTACTTGCGATCGACAAGTTCTTTGCCGATCGTTTAGCTGTGGGCCATGTGAGGGAATCAACTTCCCCACATAGCTCTCCGACCTTCTGTGTGCGAAAAGCAACAGGAGGGTGGCGGATAGTGCATGCATTTAACAAGTTGAATGCTGCAACGGTACCGGCTCAAACGCCGATACCGAGGAAGGACGTAATCATTGATGGTATGTCAAAGAGTACCATCTTTTCGTCCATGGATTTGATGGATGGCTTCTATCAAATCCTTATGCGAGAACGGGATATACCCTATACCGCAGTTAGCACGCCTGACGGCATGCTCTGGGAATGGCTAGTAATGCCACAAGGGCTCAGTAATGCCCCTGCCACGTTCAACAGATGTGATACACATCTGTTGAGACCAGTACGAGAATTCGCGCCGAGTTATTTCGATGACGTATTCATCCATAGTCGAGCTATGGATGGAAAGTCGGACGTTGAGGTTCACAGGTACCACGTCCGACAGGTTCTTACAATCATGCGAAAGCATCAATTGTATGCTAACCTCAAGAAGTGTATATTTGCATCAAGCGAAATACCACTTCTTGGGTGCATTGTTGGTAAGAACGGTGTACGTCCTGATCCCGAAAAGATTAAGGTGATCACCGACTGGCCTGTGCCGGTTGATGTCAAAGGTCTTCGAAAATTCCTCGAGTTAGCGGCGTATTTGCACAAGTATTCACGCAATTACGCCGAGATGACTGTGCACCTCTCTCGTTTGTTGAAAAAGAACGAGAGGTGGTTATGGAACGCTGAATGTCAGCGCTCCTTTGAGGGTATCAAGCAGAGCTTGATACAATCCCCAGTCCTATCAATGGCCGATCAGGACAGGCCATTTCATGTGGTCTGTGATGCCAGCGATTTCGCAATCGGCTGTGCATTAATGCAGTACGATCTTGAAGGCGTTGAACGCGTCGTCTGCTATCAGTCGCGTCAGCTGCAACCAGCTGAGCGGAACTATACAGTGCATGACAAGGAACTCTTTGCCATGAAGTATGCACTCGCGAAGTTCAGAGTCTATCTATTAGGAGATAGACCCTTCATTGTTTACACTGACCATGCGTCATTACGCACGGCAGTGAACAGCCCACACCTTTCACAACGAATGGCGCGGTGGTTGTCATTCTTTGCGGAATACAACTTTACGGTCGAGTACAAACCAGGACGACTTAATGTCGTCGCTGATGCACTCTCACGTCGTCCCGACTTTGAAACAGTCGCGAAACCCAACATTGAGACAGTCACTGTTGCGGTTATGACGTCCTCAGTCCCATCTACAACGTTGTATGATGATGTGAGGCGGGCATACGCCCAAGATGGTGAGATTGTGAAGTTGTTGACACATCTCTCCCAACCATCTCGAGAATCGTTGAAACAATTGTCGCCTGCGTATCGATCTGCATCAGATCGATACACTACTCGTAACGGGTTACTGTATTATACAGCCGTTTCTGGTGACACACCACGTGTTGTCATTCCAGATGATACTGAGCTGCGTTTGCGGATCATGTTCGAGTATCACGATGCTCCTATAGGAGGACATCGTGGCCGGGAGAAAACATATCTCACGGTGAGTCGAGACTTTTACTAGCCCCGCCAGTGTCAGTTTGTGCGAAAGTATGTTCGCGCATGCGAAGTCTGTCAACGAGTGAAGTCAAGTCCTTCACTGCGTGCACCTTTACAGCCTCTACCGGTTCCGGCTGAGTGCTGGGAATCCATCTCAATGGATTTTGTCTTCGGGTTACCCAAAGACGCACGCGGGAATACGGGTATTCTCGTATTTGTTGACAGATTCAGCAAAATGGTACACCTCGTGGCTGTACCAGAGACAATCACGGTAAGTGGCTGTGCTTGTGCCTTTGTTGACACCATCTTCCGACTTCATGGGTTTCCCCGTGAACTCGTATCAGACAGAGATCCACAATTCACTGCTGATTTCCGGCGTTCCGTGTTCAAATCACTCTGAACGCGCTTGAAGATGTCGACATCTGATCATCCAGAGTCAGATGGTCAGACGGAACGTGCCAATCGTGTCCTTGAAGAGATACTTCGAGGATACGTACACTCCTTTAAGAGTTGGAGTGAGTTTTTGCCAATGGTAGAGTTTGCCATTAACAACTCGGTGCATGCGTCCACGACACATACACCGTTTTACGTGAATGGCTTGCGCCATCCGCGTGTACCCACCTCACTAGAGTGCAACTCTGGTTTAAGGGGGGGAGGGACTCGCGCGAGCAAAAACCGATTTGGTTCACGCTCATCACGCTCTGACGAAGAGGTCATTGCGTTTGATGCCGATATCGATAACATCGATATCGAAGAAGATGATGTCAGTGAGAGTGCGGAAGCCCTCACTAAAGAAAAGGTTGATGTTGCTGCAGTGCGCTCACAGCGCACTGAAGCTAACGAGTCATCAGATGAGTTCATACTGGCTCGTGAAACGGTAGTCCCTTTTGTGCAAGACTCCATCGCCGAAGCGGTGGATAAGCAAAAGCAAAACGCTGATAAGAATGGAAGGGCAAACACTCTTTTATTTAATAAAGGTGACTTAGTCCTACTGTCTACGGTTAATCTACCAAAGCATGTAGTGACTAACTTGGGTAGCAGTAAACTACTACCCAAGTACATCGGCCCATTTCGTGTATTGCACCGCCTAGGCAATGCATACACGATCGAGTTACCACGTAAGATGCGAACGCATCCCACGTTTTACGTTGGTCGGCTTAAGCCGTACCATCAGTACGCTGCTTCTTCCGATGAAGAACGCCCTTGCGCTCAAGCATCTCGCAGAGAGCCTTGTGCTCCCGATGGTGGGCATCAACAAGGGTCTGAAGAGCAGCTATCTCATCCCGAGACCGATCAACAATCCCACGAGCTACCCTTGGCTCGTCACGAAGAGATGTCAGAGATCTCTCGTTCTCAAGCTGAGCAAAGGCAAACTCAGCTCGATGCTTCGAGGCAGTTTCCGCCATTTGGAGACGTCTATTCCGCTCATGTTCGAGATCCTCGCGTAACCCTTGCGTTACGCGATCAAAGAAGCTCTCGGGAACACACCGATCCCCATGATCGTGTGTAGAGCTTCTTTCCTCCTCCTCCTCCACCTCCACTAGAGGACTCTTGCGGTGGACAGCGCTATCTAGTTGAGCAAATGTTGAACCACGGCGACGTGAACGGACGTCGGACGAGTTTTCTCGTCCGGTGGCGCGGCTATCCCCCGTCCTGGGATTCTTGGGAGCCCCGCTCCCAACTGATGATCGACGTACTGGGTCTGGTTGAGCAGTACGACGCGGCACATCCTGTGCCGCAGAAGGACCGCCGGAGAAAGTCTTCCCGTCACGGTCGTAAAGATATTTCAGATTGTCAATCCCTTCGTACATCTCAGTAGAGATACGTACGCGCCACCAAGGGCTATTAGGGGAGGTAAGCCTCCTTAGGTGCTCGTGCAGAGTTGTTCACACAACATGGGCACGAGTCTCCCCAAGAGAGGCAGGGTAATCCTTTCTCCCTTGACAGACGATGCAGCTTGTAGCGTGCACCTGTCGGGGTTCGCTTTTCAAACTTATCACGAGCTTTGATTAGTTTGTCGTTCCAAGCGTCACGACCTACATCCTCGAGGTTATGGATGTAGGCGTTCCACGCTTGAAGCAGTGAGGGACCATCACGTTTGTGATTCCCACTGTACCATCGATGTTTGAAGAAAGCATCGATGAAGAATTCATGTTCAGCGCGATAGTTTTTCGCACTGGGGTCAAGGTGATGGATCCTTGACGAATCGAACAACCGTGTTCGATAACGATCACTCGTCGTCGCCGACAAGTGATCCATGACGGATTTTGGAGGCATCCATGCCTTCTTCTCATGAGCGAGACGCAAGACATTGCGGTCCCGCTCTTCCTGCGACGTGCCGACAGAAGGACTGGCACCTCGTTGCGAAGTGGTGTCAACAGGAAAATCGACACCACTGTGAGCGCCCGAGTCTCGCGACCTCGAGCGCCTTCGCTTCGGTGATGGTTCATCTGATGAATCAGATGAACCAAAGATGCTGCGACGCATAGCATCATCCATGCCACGCTTGGCAGGCGGCTTGGATTCGATCGCCGTCGATACGGATCCGTCTTCCGTATCAGGAGAGTACGAGACACCGAGCTCGTACTCTGTGAAGACATGAGTGTCTTCATGACCAGCGCCTGCATCACCAAGTGACACAGGCTGGGTCGCTTCAGCAACCGATGAGACATCAGTTGCTGTGGTTTCTGCTTCGGCGTCCGCACAGAGACGTGCGGACGCGCTCTCGGCGGCCTTGCTCGCGCATCGCATGGGCTTGTTAACCATGCGATGGAATATTGGGAAGTGGACTCGGACCAACAAGTGCAAACCCTGTCCCAAATGATTTGGGACGAGTATCCATTTAGTTAATCAGTCACTAAATTGACTGATGGTTAAGGGGGGGTGATGTAACGGGGTGAATCGTTACATAACAATTTATAAGAAATTGTTAATAGAATATAACTATAAGAGTTATATTCTCAGAATATTGTCATAAGGACAATATTCTGTAGCACTTACGAGTAGTTCCTAATTGGTTGATATAGGCCATTATATCAACCAACGAAGACGCGCCACGACAGACGCACGCAATGAGTGGTGAGCAGATAGTTGATTTACACATTTGTATTTAGACATAGTTAGATGAAGATAAATAGTGATTTATTGCAGACATTAACTATTATAAATACGGTTCTACTTTTTACTTTAACCAAATACTCGCTCCTTCTTACCGTCTTCCTCTGCACGTACGAGTGTACGTGAAGTTACGAGGCACCGCCTCATTCTGTCATCAGAATAAGTAGCTTGTACTGTCACCAGTACAAGCTTCAGGGTGCCCCGTTACAATCAGCGCACTTGGACACGTGGTGGAAAGGAAACATACACGCCACGTCGCGGATGTGAGGCCTGTCGCAAGGTTTACGTTGCGGAACGTGTCGTACACGGGCTGGCACCCGAGCTGAAACAAGAGCTGCAGAATGAGATCCGTAGGTGTATCAGAGTCAACGCTAGAGATTTCGATGAAGTACTTCGCGCTGAGCACGTCGAATTCCTCGAACAGGAAACACCCACCAAGAATGTTCACCTTGGTTCGTCCTAGGAGTAATTATGCTTCCTTCCACTTGACCTTGACGCGCAGGTTGCCTCCAGGGAGCTTTGAGATCTGGCCGATCTCGTGCGACGCACAAAGACGTTTAAGGACGTCACTACCATGGCTTTTGCCAGTCAGTGAAGCCATGATCTTCTGGAGTGAAGTTTTCGCGAAGGTCCGTCCGGAGTCAATAACCATGTCGCACTTGGCACGTCGCAGATCGTACGGACGCGCCCGGTCGATGCGATTAGCGATGAACGATAAGTCGTTGCCACCGGCATATTGTCACTCGATCGCCTCGATGTCGCAGGCGAGGGGAATTAGCGTCTCCACACGACGGCGGGCAGAATCGTCTTAAAACGTTTTCACGTCGAAGACGCTCGTGACGCGGAACCACAACCGCCATCGTCGGTCTAGAATCCTTGTCACTCGATGCGACGCCGGTACAAGGGGATGGAATTGCAGATTCCATAAGATCATCTTCTCTCAGAGCACAGAGAAGAGTCGGCGCAGGTGGCGGAGAAGGGACAGCCCCAAACTTGCTTGTTCTATCCGATTCCGAAGAATCTAGTATAGTCCTTTCCGTGGAAAGTACCATGGTGCCTGGCATAGCCGGGTCAGCGGCAGGGCAGAAGCCAGAGCACGGAGCAGACGAAATGTGAGTCATCAGCTCGCGAGGTAGAGACGATGCAGACACTAGATTTCCGTGGAAAATGACGAGGCAAGGGTGCGTAAGAAGGCGGGGAAAGAGGGTTCTTCTAGACTTGACGTGAGCAGTAGCTGGCAAACAGTGGTCACCTAGGTATGAAGTTCAAATGGTATAGCGCTGGCTTCGCATGCGAGAGGTACAAGGATCGATACCCTGCTTTTCCAGGCGTCTGTAGTATAGTGTTCAGTGCCTGTGCACTCAACACTCGTTCGAGCAGCCACGATAAACAATAGCATCATTACGCTATCCCATGCGAGAGAAAGGGTATCCGTATTCGGAGCCTCGGGCCAGGTCGTGGTGGATACTATCTATGGCAAGATGGCATGTACGGACACCGTGCTAGTAGTAGCACAGAAGATTGACAGGGCAGTTGAACCACCGAACCAACGAGCAGAGCGTGTGCCAGTCTACCTAGCATAAGAGTGCGCGTGCCCGGATTCGAACCAGGGATTTCACCGCCACAAGGTGAGGTACTGACCACTATACTACACACGCCTGGAGAAGCAGGGTATCGATCCCTGTACCTCTCGCATGCGAAGCGAGCACTGTACCATTTGAGCGCAGGTGTGATTGCGATTAGTCTACACATCTTTAGATAAGGACAACAAGACAGGGACTACCAACCGAAGATGTGCTGAAAAAGCGTTACTTAAGGTCAGCTGGTGACGTAGTTGAACTGCGAAGTGCACGTTGGGGAATATGCTGATGCTGACTGCTTTTGTCATCGTAACATGATCTCGCCAGCGATGCGTGGTATCGATCCACGTGCTTCTCGTTCGAGAAGAGAGTGTTCGACAACTAGAGTATTCTATCAAGACTGCAGCTATAAAGAAGAACGGTATCATGCGAGCAATGAAGTTCCCACACCGGGATTCGAAACCGGGTCTGTTGGATGAGAGCCAGATATCCTAACTGCCTAGACTAAATGGGAAAGCTGATTAGTTGACACACTAACGAATACAATCACCGCTATCAAGCAATAGTCTGCTTGTTTCAGCGCTCGATCCGAACTGCAAGTGTACCAGTGAAAGAATAACGCATGAGGGAAGAGGGGATCGAAGCCCCGACCGCTGGGTCTGGAATCCAGCGCTCTACCACTAAGCTATAACCCCACTGCTATGCCTTCTAGGATTCCTGATGGCCGATGTTGAGAGGTTGCTTCTAAAGGGTTGGGTTTGATTTGTAGAAATGTTCGCATTTGTCGATTTCGAGGGGGACAGCTTGGCCGAGTGTATGGCGTCAGCCTGCTAAGTTAATGAGGGAACCCGCTTGAGTTCGAATCTCACAGCTGTCGACTTTAATGTCTTCCCCAAGTGCATCAACGTGCCGCGCTCATCTCAACAACTCGGGCCGAAATGTAGCCAGATAGTGCGTTTGCAGATACGCCGCTACTGGATAAACGTATAGGCTTCACTTGTGGCCGAAGTGGTTCTGGACATGTGGTCCAAGTCGATGTTTTAATAGCGCACGGTGTGGCCAAGTGATGGGAACCACTTTGGTGGTCATCCGTAAAAATTGTAACGACAGTGACATGACATGTTTTTGGAGCCCCTATAGCTCAGTGAAAGAGCACCCGCTTAGTAAGCGGAAGGTCGGTAGTTCAATCCTGCCTGGGGGCAGTGACGGTGTGCGCATCCATTATAAGGCAAAAGTTCTAGCGCCTCCTTACTCGAGCAAGCCATAGATCCGTGGTAGAGCACCGATCAGTAAGTGGAAGGTCGGTAGTTCAATCCTGCCTGGGGGCAGTGACCGTGTGCCATACCTATCACATGTCACAAGTTCTAGTATCTCCTTGCTCGAGAGAGTGACTCAACAGCTCACATCTTTTCATCGCAGTAGGGGTTACGCCTCCTTTTTATACAACATACTTTGATAGGCTCACCTGCTACATCCGTACCATAGGCGGTGACGATCAGTCTATCTCATAAAGTGTCATATCCTTTACTTCAATCGAGTCATTGGCTAACACCCCGTTTGTAACCAGAGCGCTGTACGTCACATTGATACCAATCCCCGTAAAAAGTATAATGTGACGAAATCGAACCAGACTTGCACTCCAAATAATTCTCGCTAAGGGATTCAATTGTTCTCATTCCTGTTGCCCGAATCAAAGAAACAGTAATCATCTGGGGATGTAGCTCAAATGGTAGAGCGCTCGCTTCGCATGCGAGAGGTACAGGGATCGATACCCTGCTTCTCCAGGCGTGTGTAGTATAGTGGTCAGTACCTCACCTTGTGGCGGTGAAATCCCTGGTTCGAATCCGGGCACGCGCACTCTCATGCTAGTTAGACTGGCACACGCTTTGCTCGTTGGGTTGGTGGTTCAACTGCCCTGCCAATCTTCTGTGCTACTACTAGCACGGTGTCCGTACATGCTATCGTGCAATAGATAGTATCCACCACGACCTGGCCCGAGGATCCGAATACCGGATACCCTTTCTCTCGCATGGGATAGCGTAATGACGCTATTGTTTGGCGTGGCTGCCCGAACGAGTGTTCGTTCGATTATGCAACGTGCATACAGATACGCATTTGGTTGCCCCTTGCTACGCGTAGGACTGTCCCGTATACCCATGAGAAGGGATTCTGAAAAACAAGATGCCGCAAGTTTGCTTGCAGTGTTGTGCTGAAAACAAAGTTTGTTATAACTGCTTGCTTTGCATATTGACCCTTTTTGTCCTACTACACCTTCTTGGCCGCGGATGTCAGCTGTGAAATAGTTTAAGGCTACTTCTTACGTAGGTCAAGCTCATGTGAACAGAAATGCTGACGTGTGCTTCTTTTTACGTCACATGAATGTATCGATGCAGCACAGGGTTGTGCTAATTGTGGTGGAGCATGGCACCTTGGCAACGACGCATAAAAGCGATTTGTTTGCTGGCAGGAAAACAGTGGTCATCTGGGGATGTAGCTCAAATGGTAGAGCGCTCGCTTCGCATGCGAGAGGTACAGGGATAGATACCCTGCTTCTCCAGGCGTGTGTAGTATAGTGGTCAGTACCTCACCTTGTGGCGGTGAAATCCCTGGTTCGAATCCGGGCACGCGCACTCTTATGCTAGTTAGACTGGCACACGCTTTGCTCGTTGGGTTGGTGGTTCAACTGCCCTGCCAATCTTCTGTGCTACTACTAGCACGGTGTCCTTACATGCTATCGTGCCATAGATAGTATCCACCACGACCTGGCCCGAGGCTCCGAATACGGATACCCTTTCTCTCGCATGGGATAGCGTAATGACGCTATTGTTTGGCGTGGCTGCTCGAACGAGTGTTCTTCTGATTGTGCAACGTGCATACCGATACGCACTTGATTGCCCCTTGCTACGCGTTGGACTGTCCCGTATACCCATGAGAAGGGATTCTGAAAAACAAGATGCCGCAAGTTTGCTTGCCAGTGTTGTGCTGAAAACAAAGTTTGTTTCAACCGCTTGCTTTGCATATTGAGCCTTTTTGTCCTACTACACCTTCTTGGCCGCGGATGTCAGCTGCAAACTAGTTTAAGGCTACTTCTTACGTAGGTCAAGCTCATGTGAACAGAAATGCTGACGTGTGCTTCTTTTTACGTCACATGAATGTATCGATGCAGCACAGGGTTGTGCTAATTGTGGTGGAGCATGGCACCTTGGCAACGACGCGTAAAAGCGATTTGTTTGCTGGCGGGAAAACAGTGATCATCTGGGGATGTAGCTCAAATGGTAGAGCGCTCGCTTCGCATGCGAGAGGTACAGGGATCGATACCCTGCTTCTCCAGGCGTGTGTAGTATAGTGGTCAGTACCTCACCTTGTGGCGGTGAAATCCCTGGTTCGAATCCGGGCACGCGCACTCCTATGCTAGTTAGACTGGCACACGCTTTGCTCGTTGGGTTGGTGGTTCAACTGCCCTGCCAATCTTCTGTGCTACTACTAGCACGGTGTCCGTACATGCTATCGTGCCATAGATAGTATCCACCACGACCTGGCCCGAGGCTCCGAATACGGATACCCTTTCTCTCGCATGGGATAGCGTAATGACGCTATTGTTTGGCGTGGCTGCTCGAACGAGTGTTCTTCTGATTGTGCAACGTGCATACAGATACGCATTTGGTTGCCCCTTGCTACGCGTAGGACTGTCCCGTATACTGATGAGAAGGGATCCTGAAAAACAAGATGCCGCAAGTTTGCTTGCCAGTGTTGTGCTGAAAACAAAGTTTGTTTCAACCGCTTGCTTTGCATATTGAGCCTTTTTGTCCTACTACACCTTCTTGGCCGCGGATGTCAGCTGCAAACTAGTTTAAGGCTACTTCTTACGTAGGTCAAGCTCATGTGAACAGAAATGCTGACGTGTGCTTCTTTTTACGTCACATGAATGTATCGATGCAGCACAGGGTTGTGCTAATTGTGGTGGAGCATGGCACCTTGGCAACGACGCGTAAAAGCGATTTGTTTGCTGGCGGGAAAACAGTGGTCATCTGGGGATGTAGCTCAAATGGTAGAGCGCTCGCTTAGCATGCGA